TTTAAATACAAAAAATTTGTTATGAGAAATTTCAAAAATGCTGAAATACACATATTTTATTATTTATACATTCCATACTTGTGGAATTAATTACGACTAAGTGTAAGAGTTCGAAGAATCTATTTATATCCAAGAAATCACGTCTATAAACAGCAAAAAGAAGAAACATGGACGAACAAACATCTGTGCAAATAAAGGAAACCAAGAATTAGGAATTTCCCATCTGGATAATACAAACAGAAGAGATCACGGTCGAGGCGAACCGCAGAAAATTATGCTTAAAGCAACAGCAAAATCGTAAAAATCCATCACGTTCACCAGGGTGGTCTTCACTGAGAAACACAATCCTAAAAAATGATCACGAATGCCTTTTTGCTTTTAACAGAGAAGGAGATCGTGTGACAACACGCGACCGAGCACCTGGGTGTGGTCAGTGATGGGATCCGAGACACTTGGAATCGCTTTGAATTTGCACACATAGTGCTAAACTCACTATAATTCAAGACTTTCGAGAATTTTAAACTACGAATTATTCTCGAAAACTTCTTGGAAGTTTTGAAAATTGCAATAAGGTTGGTACGAGCAATGAACCTGTACTTTCTGGATTTTTAAGATATCTTTTATTTTACGATTCTGCATTTAGAAAAATAGTCGTAGAATAATTCTCTGTTTGAAAAATACTAAACATTCGGATCCTGTCAACCCTCGAGACTTTCAACATTTCCAAAACAATCAAGATTTTTAAAACTCAAGATCTATCAAGACAGTTAAAGAGTTTCGAGTTTCTAGTGTGACTTTAGGGTGTGTCGTGGATTTTATTCCCTCTAACAGAGATTAATGACAAACTTGAATCATATGAAAAATTCCACAATTAAACAACGTAGAACCCAAGTTAGGGGTCGCAGATTTTATTCTCTCTGACAGGGATTAGTAATAAAAAATGAAAAATGTTTCAAGTGATTTTGTGGTCAAATGTACAGATTCGAAGTGATTCCATCTGTCTCAGGTCACATCACGGAATGTGGTGTATGTACACACCGCAAACAGCTCATGATCACGTTTGTACGCCAAGAGGGTCCAGGATCGGCTCTCTGTCCTGACCATAAAAGCGGGTGCCCCCTCGTTGCTAGGTAGGTGTGAAACGTAAAGTCAGCGATCTGACGAGACTCGGGCCGATGCACTGCAGATTGCGAGTATCCTTGCTGAGGTCGGACGCCGAGCTTCGTCGAAGGTCGTTGCCTGCTCGATATACACGGTGTACCTTGAGAATTTTCGCCCAGCCTCCGCAAAGGCGCACCGTTCTCCTCTCTCTGTGACGCAGAAAGTGCCACAACTTCGTGGGGAAAGGCGGATACGGCAATAGGAATAGTTCTTTGCTCCGATGGAAGGACTCGTGTTGGATTTTGGATCTTTGTTGCTTTGTTCCTTGGGTACGAAGCAAGTCGGATGATTTAGAAAATGATTTTCGAGAAGGCTTACGTGTCTTTTATTTTTGGTACTTTGGATCTAACTCGTATTTGAGTTAAAAAAAATTTAGAAACTTTTGTTTTCTATTCCTTTCGTCTCATGGAGTTTAAAGCAAGATAGAGAATTTAGAAACTTCTGAAGAATCCTTGTAATTATAATTTTATTTTCAAGTTCAGAATAAGTTGGAAACTTTGTGAAATGATCTTCGAAAGGAATTTTGTGGCTTCTGTTACTCTAAACTAACTTGAATTATTTCGTTTATATTGAAAGAAAAAAGTTTTATAACTTCTCGAGTAAACTCTCTAAAACAATCAACTTTGTAGTCATATCAATGTAAACTAATCTTGACATATCATCTGCTACCGAATTTCGAAATAATTAATTTATGATATTTCACAAGAAGATGTGTATTATTCGTTATGTAAAATAAATGTTGAAGACACTTGTTTGATAATTAAATTTCATTAACATTTTTAATCATCTGTTTTAGGGATTCCAAACAATTTAAATTCACGAGAAATAACATACTCTATTTTATAGAATAGAGGCCAGATATTATTCTAGATATCTGATAATTACAATTATGATATTTAATCGGATCCCTCCAATTTTGTTGCGCAAGATACGATCGTGCTATAATTTTTTCTAGCTAGCATGATTCGTTCTGTTATCGTGATATCTGGACATTTTTATTACACTTTGTTAGCGGTTTAATAGTTCAGCGAGGAGATAAAACGAAAGGATAATTAATTCGCGTTAATGATACCGCGTCGACGACAACGATCACGATTTCTCGGAAGATCCTGTCAAGGTCGTGATTCTTGCTTTACAATGCCGCGCCGCTCGAAAGCAGGAGATGTCTCCTCCATAAAGTAAATCGTAGCATATGTTATTCTTCCAGAATATTTTATTCTTTGATCAAATCTATATTCTCTGTTAATATTAAAGAAACAATAAGACTGGTTAAAAAAAAATTTTTTAATTACATGACGTAGGCTTTCGTTGTCGCGAGTTATTTTGGTTGAATAATTGGACGTCGTTTCAATTTGGTCAACATTATATTCACGTGAGAAATGTTGAGCAACTTATGGCCAATTGATTAAAACGTAAAGCAAAAATTGCAGATAAACGCAGTTTAAGTGATACGAAAACTAAAGTATGAATGTGTTGTACATACATCCCTACTGATGAAACAGTTTTAATGGTACTATCAATTTCCGAGGGACAAGATCAGCCTCATTAACTTTCTAACGTACCATGTAATTACTAAAATTTAGAGTATTTTAGCCTGTATTTTACGTTCTCTGCGATATAAATTAGTAACAAATAGACTGTAAATCTTTATGCATTTATAGAAAAATTTGAAGCACAAAATCATGCAGAATGCACGTAACGTGAAAAAATACGTAAAATATCCAAAGTATAATTCTGCAACGTTTAAAAACATGATTTTACATAAAAATTCACGTTTTAATGACGAAACGTAGAACTTTCTAACAAATCACATAAATCGATCTCTTCAACTTCAAACAATCTTCCTTCTTTTGTTTCGTTCAATTCAATCGAGACATAGCAAACAGCCAGGTAAACACGTAATCGCAGTTTCAACGCCCACAGATAATTGTCTCTATTTTCTAAGAACCAAGTGGTTGTTCGATTACACTTATTGTCGGCCGTTGCAGCAGGAAGCTTTGATTGCGAATTACTCTCATTACTAACGATTATCGTTCGTATTAATAGTAATGATTCGACACGCATGGATGCGCCAAAAGGGGTTAATCGACGTTGGAAAAATAAATGACTACCGATGGCGGTGAAGAAAAGATCTCGAACAAAGAAAACAGCTTGCACGAGCTCGCGAAAGTATTCGAACATCTGTACGCGCCCTTTATGACTACATGCGAAATTTCATTAACATTATTATGAGACGATTATCATATATATATGTGTGTGTGTGTGTGTATATTGGTGAAGTTTGAAACAAATTTGGAAATATATATAGAAATTGTAAGATGTATATTTGATAAAAATATATTATATTTCACAAAATCTGTTTATTTTTAAATAGATAATTATTATTTATTAATTTCATATTAATACAATATAGTAATAATTAATAATACATGTTTTAATAATATATAATAAGCTTGAATATTTAGTGCGACTTTAACATACCTAAGAAAGTTATTATTAGTTATGTTGTATACTAATTTCTTACTAAACTACTTTCTGATTCATTTCAGAATTTACCAATATAATCACGACACTCATGTCTTTCTGCAATGCCAATTAAATTTCAAAATAATTCATATAATACGTATAACACACACAACCGTGCTTCACTATTACTACATTAGTAAAACTATGATATTCCATGTGTATTATTTATTTCCATCTCCGAATAAAATTGTCAATATATTACTAGTACTATGTACATTTCTTAGTTCATTATACATTGTACAACATTTTCCATACAACTGTCCCAATAAAAATTTTCTACAGTTCAAATACTTTCACGAGCCAATAAACCTTCGGACATTTTCCATTTCGAATGTTCTCGAGTGGATCGTTTCCAGTGAAACGTGAATCAGACAGGAATCATCGAGAAAACTAATAAGTAATCAATTTCACTGCGTGCACGAGAGGGAAAACAAGCTGGCTTGGCAAAGCAAAGTGAACGTGGCCAAGGGAAGAAATGACGATGCCGCTCCTTTCTCGGCAGTATAAACGAACGAGACGAAGGAATCAACGGAGGAGAGAATGCGAGGAGCGAGAACGGTCCGGTTTTTGCTAGCAGGGTGCAAGGACAGACGGATTGCTCAGAGGACTGAAAGTCCGCGGGGAACGTGATCAGCGTCACCGAAATGCTCGTAACCGAGAATTGCAACAGCCGGCACCGAAACCCACCTATACGTATACGCATTGCGTTCTTGCGAAGCTTGTTTCAACTGCTTACCATCCAAACGATCTCGCCACAATAGTACAATGTAGAAACGGGGGACAGATAAGAATCACTATGGTGTCGCTTGATTTACTTTATGGATCTGTTACTGTGAAAAAGAACTGCTTTGGTTCGAAGTGATTCTGGCTCGATTCAACCTTTCATTCGCGAATAATTTTTATAGTAAACAGAGAAGGGGCGTAATTTATAATTTGTGTAGGTTTATCATGAGGAGACTGTAACCGTAATGCAAAAAGAAAAATTAAAGCAACGGGAGGGAAAGGAAATACTGATGTCACTCGGCGAAATTAACAGATCTCTGGTGTTATAATTAAAATTTCAAATTTACAGTATTTACTTTAATTTAAAAATCTGAAGATTAATGATTATTAATATGAATCGTTCGTTTTTGGAATGGAATATTTACTCTGTAGCCAAACTGATCTAGCTGGACAAAAACAAACTAACCACGATAGATCTCGATAGATCGTAGCAACGTAACAACATCAAAGATTAATAAAACCTGGAATAATGTTCTGTCATTTAAGAAAAAAAAAAAGGAAGAAAAAATTATTGGAACTTTTTGTTACAGGACGACGGCGGTATCGAGTACTTCAACACTATCGTGGTGCAGCCACACCTGAAGCTGATCACGAACCAGGGCAGAGGTTTTCACGTGAGATGCCGATATCAAACGCGAGACAAGGTAGTAACGAACGATCAAACCCACGTGGCGATGCTGCAGTCCCTGCCACTTCAGGTAACGATGCCATTTCCCCTTTGAAATCCTACATTCAATAAGATACGCGTGTTCAATTCAATTATTCCCATAAACTCTAACACGGTCCGAGTTACATCAACGTCAAACGTAACGTCTGATTATGGCAGATTAAGGATGAGTTTATTTTCTAATTTAACGCAAACCTTCTTACGAGAGCCTCGAGAAGCTTTTTCTCATCGGCCGGGCAAAAAAGAACGAGGCAATGACGGAACGAAAGATCGGGGATTCAACGTTACGCAGATGAATAATAAATTGCGATTTTACGTCTCCCGACAGGCAACAGCTCCTATGCCAGGATGCACGATGAAGATCTTCAGCGGAGATCCAACGAGGCATCAAGTGGCGGAAAACGTAAAGATCGGAGACCCTCTGACCTTGGTCATTAGCATCGACAAACAGGAAATGTTCGGGCTCAAGATCTCCGACTGTCTGGTGCGCGACGGCCTAGGATGGGGAGAGCAGAGGCTTATAAACGACGAGGGGTAATTTCGCTTTTGCATATCTCGTCTCTGTCACCCACCCGGCGTTAGAGAGACGTTAATGACAAACATGACGTTCGAAACTGTAAGCTATTGGTATCCTTCGATGTTTGGAGAAGTATAGGATTACAGTAGATGACTCTTTTGAAGAACTTAAAGTTCTGATGGACACGTTCTCAGGATGATTAAATACAGTAGAATCAGTATTATATCTCTTTCTGTAGAACTATTATCGAGATAAAATCTATTCGCGATACGTGTATGAAGTTTGTAACTTGGACAAACGACGTTTTATTATCCTAGTAGTTCTTACGATCGAGATTTTATATAGATTCTGATTAGAACAGCTACAGGTGATTCTTCAGAGTTAGAACGATACTTTGTCAGAATTACGATTACAGTGCACATGTTTTCTGACGAGTTTCTTGGAAAATATGTCATAACAATCTTGCTGTACTGTTTCGTCTATTAGAGAATCAATAAATTGGTCATCCAACACATATCCTCCGAACAAAAATCGTCTTCATTTTCATACGTTTATTCCATCCACGGAGACGTTTAATAATAGACAGGATAGCGAACGTAAGAACAATTCTTTGACCGGTATACAAATAAATTGCTTGCGTCAGAGTGTTACATGAATTATTCAAAAGTCGGAATTCAGGGTACAAAGCGGGTCGGTTCACTGACTTCTTTTCATAAGCAAATCAGCTGATCTGTACAACAGGTTGCACACATACTTTCGCTCTCGATTTGTTCGTGCAATGAGGAATATTTCTAAAATAGAAGTATTCTCTGAAGGACAGTTGTACGACATAGTTATACGAGAAAAATGAAGCAAGTACGTGTTGAGAATTTATGATAACTGGATACGAATGCTGTTCTTCACAGTCTTACTCACTGAAAAGCATTCTTTAATCTGTTTAATCTGTCAGTGTCTTTTTTTTTTTTTTTTTTTAGGAATAATTTCTTCTTTTTAAAACTATCCAAATGTTTTATCTTTTTCCATCTTCTATTGTTCTTTGAAATTTCTTATTGCAAACGCGCTGTTGAAAGACAAAATCCAATTATGTAAATTAATTGAAAAATATGTGAACTCGATGTTAGTCTTCGATGGATTAAAATTCCTCTGAAATTCTGCACATCTTTATCTATAGAAAAATCGTGTTGTTATTACAGTTGTCCAGTAGATGGTGAAATTATGGGACAATTCACGTACAACGAGGATAAAACGGAGGCAAAGGTGAACTTCCAGGCGCATAAATTCCCCTATACAGCCAGTGTCTACTATCAGTGCAATGTCAGATTATGTGTAAAACACGGTGGAGGATGCAGCAATACGGTAATTAAAATTCTGTTCTTCAAAGTTCTTCGAAGATCGTTTAGAAAATTAAGAAAGAATAACGTAATTACTAGACTGATTTTTTTTTTTTACTCAATTCCATATTTTTGGAATACAAAAACAGAGAAAGACTGTGTAATTGTTAGACTGTGAATCTCTACAATTTTATGTATTTTTATGAATATAATCAAAGAGACGGTCTTTTGTTATTCTGTATACTTTCGCACACTGTGTATTCTCCGTATTTTTGCATTCATAAGTTCCTCGCAAGTGCGTAAAAAGCCGCAGTCTGGTAATTGTTCCGTAAACAATTGAATGGAAGAAAGATCCCACGGAGAGTCGCTTGGAAAGTGTTCAAAAGAAATCATCAATATTCTATCTAATATTTCAGCCACCAGCGTGTAATTCAGTATCGAGACGACGCAGGGACACTGCGAATGACAATACAGTGAAAGATGTGGTAGGCCTGGACGGAGGTACACCAGCAACCATCGAGGTTTACAGCGGACTGTACGTGAACGAAGCCTCGGACATTGGTTCCAAGTCGGACTACTCCGAAGATGTCTTCAGAGAAAGGGTTAGTCCCATTAATATTCATCTCCATTTTCGCGGTTCTCGAAGAAAAAGTTGGAGAAGAAGAATCATAATTCAAAAATACACGTACTACAACAGATATAGATATACACTCTTGCTCTAAATATGAGGATATTTGACATAACTAATTATGCATCTAGATAATTAGAGAATGTGCGATGATGAATTCACAAGTCTGCTAACAGTCACGTAGTGTTAGTTTGTTAGAATGTTCCGCGATGATAATATCAACTGTGATCAATAAATGACAAAAAAGAGTATCCTAATTCGAAGACAGTCAGTTGTTAGAAAATTTAAAACATTTTTTTTTCCTAAAGTAGAGTAGAAAGGAACCTATTGTAGCTCCAAAACAGTTTTGAAAAATTCTAAAGAGACTTATGAACATTTGTCGTCCACTTAATTCACGTTTACGATACAATTTGCAGACTATCGACGATCCAAATGACATCTGTATATCGCAGAGGAGCTTCGCCATCGGCATCGCGATCGCGGGTCTGATCCTCATGCTGATGGTGGTCGCGGCTATTTTAGCGTTACTGGCTAAGAGACGACATAAGACTGTCTCGACGACGGGTTCATCGATCTACAGCGGACCTTACACGAACACAGCGTATAGTCACAGCAGTTAAGTTTCGCCGGAACCTCGATATCCTCGTACAAACGAGGTGATTCGAATGAGAAAAAAAAAAAAAAAAGAAAGAAACGAAAAACTTCAGCCACATGGTAGCTGATCGAACGAACAGTCGATCAATCGACTGATTAATATCGAGAGAGAAATTCTTTCAATTTATGTCGATTCTACGTTAATCTCGATGCACCGAGGCGTAGAAAATTTAGGTGGATTACATGAGATTTTGCTCAACTGCCGACGCTATTGTTGCTTCTTCGAGAAAATAGCCCAGAACCCAATGGGTTCGAACACGTGATCGAATGTGATGGATTAAGAGGATACAACACTTTGAGGCAGTAAAAATTTTTTTTTCCATCTACAAACTTCAATGTAATCTTTCTTCCAAAATGTTAAAAGAAATCTCAATCCAAATTGAATTGTAAAATATGCGTTGCATAGAATATTTCTTCAGAATTAAAAGAAAGTCGATTTCAAAGCAAACAGATGAGAGAACAATTTTTTCGAGAAGAAGAGAGATTTTGATATAGATAACATTTTACGCTCCAAAAATGAAAATGTTTAATCTTTTTAAAAAGATTCTTAAATGTTTAATCTTTTTAAATCGTCAGAGTGACGTAGCCCCTTGATCAAGAAATTTCTACGTATTTTATTCAGATACGTTTCTTGCCATCCGTTTAATAACTCGTCCTCAACAGCTACTTTTTCGATACTTCCCGAATTGTGAGATTATTCGTAAGAAACACGTGTTGGAACCTGAGCAGTTTTAGAAAAATCCTAGCCTAGCCCCAAAACAACTTCAAACGAATCGAAACACAAAATCCATAGGATTAACTTTAATATATACCTACGTTATATATTATTATTTTTATTATTATTATTATATTATATAATATTATATACATATTGTATACTAGTCCGGTATACGCTGTCCTAGCTAACCTAGCAGCCGCACTAAAAACAGAAGGCGCGCACCATATGAATATTCTCTCTGTCTCCGCTATCCCGGTAATTTAACTTAATCACCAGCGCAGAACGATCCACTCTAGCGTTTAAGGTGAAGTCGACAGAGATAGTACTTGTTAAGCGAATCAAACGCCCCAGTGATTTTTAACTATCATTCATATTTCCCTACTACCCCGACCTCCTAGCCAAGTGTTGCATATTTCCTATTCCCGTCTCTATGGCAATCTCTCCTCGATATTTATAGTTACGGTCTCTTTATTTCTACTTCTTTTCTTAAAATTTTGTGGCAAAGAAATAATCTCTGGCTCGGTGGAGTTCGATCAGTTAAACCTTTAAATTCCAAAATAAATAGACTGTGAATTTTTATGCAAATTTACAATACTCCAGAGCTAGAGAAGTGAAACGATAAAAGATAAATAAAGAATTTTTCACTCGCGAGATATTATAAGAGACATTTGGGATATTTTATTAAGATACTATAATACATTTTTCCTATTTCATTAAAAATACGACAGAATTATTTATTTATAACGATACGTCGGAAGATTAATCGATTATATAGCTGAAATTCGTGTGATAGTAGTTTACAGTCAGATTTCGTTCAAGATAAACGTAATTAATATTAAAAAAAGTCCTACTGCTTTTTTAGAAAAATTTTTCAACATTTTTCTACTGAAAAATAAGTAGATTTATCATTCAACGCAATGTACATTTGCGTTTTTACATTTCCTACAAGTGCATAAAAGTTCACAGTCTAGTTACCGAGCCTCCAGAAGGACAGAATCTTCGACTAAGATCTAAATTATACATGTATAATTTCCTCAGGGCCAGCGGTAAAACAAGTCGAGAACACTTGATCAGCTCCTGGCTAATCGATCAGAGACAAGTTTCTGTACGTTCGAACGAATCAAAGCTGCTGCAAACGAGCAACTCGGCAAACTTGTATAGGATGCATCGATTATTACGTGCTTCCGACTATGTGCTACGGTGTTTCGTGAGATTGAGAGTCCTGTTGCCGCGAGAACGAGGAGAAAAGAACCACGTCGCGTTTTATGCACACCAAAGACTAAAAAGGTGTTAGAAACAGGAATATACATCATCGTTCATAAATGTCTGGAGACTTTTATCAATTTGTAGAGAGTAAGAATTGCAAATATTATTTTAATGATAAAATAACTATTAATTAGTATTTTTTATGATATCAGCAAACCATGAATCTAAATTATTGACTGTATTATGATTCTATTACTATTTATCAGAAATCTCATTATTTTGTCAGAAATTTTTTTACTAATTTGAAAAATCTCCCTGGATCTAACCTATGATTCAGAAATTAAAGAATTTAAAGATAAAGAACTTGTCGAGAATTAAATGTCTGACAATTACAAACAACATTTTTTCTATTGCTTGTTAGTTTTCAAAATTTAATTTAATCGTTTCGTAGTATTAGTTAACATACTGAATTAAAATGAATGTTTCACATGCACCAAACTAATATTTATAAACACGATTAAAAATAAAAGTAAAATCATTACAATTCGATTTATCTGTAATTTTACAATGAAATCAAATATGCAAAAAGGGGCCAGACATTTCTGAACGATAAAATATAAACCAATTGGACGTCTCCTCGTGTACACGACCACGGAACATTTGCATGAATGTGGCAATAAACGAGTGTATAATCCATTATAACGCTTAAACGTAAACTAGTTTCCATTGAATCGAGGTGCTGCTCCGAAAACAATACCCTCATTTTACAAGATACTTCTGATTCTTATCTGGATAATAAATAAACATCTGTTAATGAACAATGTAATTTACGTTCGAATCGGAAATACCTTGTATGATTTTTTTCGTCATTTCTTCGATTCTTTTCCGACAAAAAGTTAATTAATAGATAAGATACTCTAGTGACATTTCTGTGGAGTGGAAAGAATCGAAAAACGAGAGCGAGGGTTTTATTAGTCGCGTGGAGCGTTCTTTTTATTTTAGTTCTTTAATTTGCGAAGAAAAAAAAAGAAAAATCGCGTAACTGGGACCAACGTGGTGGTGGGTACAGATCGTAAAAATTTACAGTTAAAGAGAACAGAGGGAGAAAAAGAAATGAAAAAAAGAATGGACGCGCAAACGTAACACTCGTAATCAATAAGCAAGGAATTAAGAAAACGAACAAAAAAAAAAGATATAAAAATGTTGTATGTTTATGATTCGGATTACATGAAACCGTTTGTTCTGACTAACGTTCTTTGTGCACCTACGATCGCTTTCAGTTTGAGTAAAAAACATCGAACGACGTGAATTTTTAAGAATTTTTAAAAAATTTATAATTATTAGAATGATTTAATTTGTTTTCTTTGAATTCAATTTTTCAAAATATTTATTCTTATACGATTAAACTATAATGACACCCAATAAATACTTAAGATCATATTTACATGCAGAAAATTCATTAAAAAAAAGAAAAATAGTTCAAATCATTTGAATAGCTATACTAAATCTAATATTCTTACTTTAAATTAAATTAAAAATAATGAAAATTCTTCGTCACGATGTTTTGTAAAGTTTGTAACAAAGTGCAATAATTTCAGGCGATCTATGGTGTAGAAAGATTATAAGATTACGTCGAAAGCACTCGACGAATGTATAACAAACGAGCGTTGTCGTTTCGTCGTATTCGTGGCACTGGTTCATAGCGACATTGGGGATAAAAATGCCTGTATAGAGTTCTTTTTGTAAGGATACGCGATTCTCTTCTCTAGATCTTGCAATGTTTCTCTGGACCCTTGTCCAAAACTTACAACGAACTTGTGTAAATAACGAAAACGTAATAAATCTTGTAACCATAAACGAATGTAGTTATTCAATACTTCAAGAAAATAATATATGTTTCCTAATTCTCAAAATCTTAGTTACAGTAAGATCTACTTATGGAAAAATTTTTTATACAAAAGCCTGAGAAGAATAAAAAAAGGAATGGGATATTATATTTGGAATTGGGACATAATTTGGAATATTAATCTCTTTTTGTCGATAGCACAATGGCATTTGAAACAAACTTATGCCATAAAAAATTTGATAAAACTCTATGACATATACAATTAATTACCCATAGGAGAGACTCAATCATATCTTTATATTTATCTCTTCTCATTTAATCATTTTCTTTGAGCTTCTGTCGATGGCACAGAAACATCTGAAACAAACTTAAATCATAAAATATTTAGTAAAATTCTATTTAGTAGGATATTATTAACTACCAACAGGAGAGTCTTAAACGTCACATCATTATATTTATTTCTTCTTATTTAATCATTTTCTTCAATGAAATCATTGATGATACAATGGTACCTGAAACAAACTTAAATCAAAAAAGATTTAGTAAATTTTTATAAGACATAATTATGTACCAACAGACATCATATGTAGTTCATTTCAACAGATGATTTCCATAATCTCAATGGAAGAAGTTTAGGCATTTTATAAACGCAACTCTACTTAAAGAAACACGATCATTTATTAACGCAACACTAATTGAAAAAATAATTATTACCACGATAGAAAGATATCGCAACACTAAAAATTACTACATAAAGATTAACAAAAAAAAAAACTACTTCAATTGTTCACAATAAATAATAGAGAATTTCTCTATTCCAATTTTAAATAAAATATACGAATACAAATTATATAAATTTTAATATTATATTTAAGGAAATTAAATAGCAATTTATAATTAAAAATATTATAATAAAAATAATCGCGATATTATATAATTCACAACATTAAAACAAATACGATCATCATTATACCGCAACTCTAATACAAACCGAAATAAATTCTTTCGCAAATCTAATTTATAACAAAATCTTGATTAATTCGCAATTCTAACTGCAACCCGCAATTAATTTTTCGAGATACTAATAAAAAAATCGCGATTTGCCCAATAGTATAATGGTAGACCAACATCGGCCACAAAAAAAATACTACTATTACATACTACAAATTCTAAAAGCGAGCATAGTGACAAAGTAGTAACAAGAATGACTTCCCATGCTTTAGATGGATTTCCTATCCAGAGGATGATAAGCCATTTGTTGCAGCCCTCTTCTATGACATTTTGCCGGGCCTCTTCTTTTCTTCGGGCGCAATGCCCGCTGAAACTTAAATCTAGGCTCGAGTCTTTCTAATCGCAAAATCAAAAAAATAACTTATAAAGGTGAAATAAAAAAATAAACCGCGGAAGCTGATTTCAATACACATGGACGACCATCGATCATAGTGATCGTTGTCCGTTCGCATGTGCGTGCTCGAGCAATACCTACATAAACGTTCGTTTCGGGACCTACTCGCGACCTATCCGCGACCGCGAGCGCGATACTAAATTCGAAAAATCGAAGAATAAAACCAGAAACAAATGCCATGCTCAATTTGTACCAATTTCACTGTCGATTTTTCAAATTAGATTTCCTGAAACAGGTTGGACACGCTAGAAAGGGACACGCGACCAGAGACTGTGCCAACCTGTCCGGCCCTACCTACTTATAATTAAACACAGGCATACCAGAGAGTAAGCTACCTATCCTAACAAATCGCCCTATATTTAAAAAATGGCAAAACAAGCACACCAACACACTCATTCAACGGTTCTCATACATACCACTCGGGCGCAGACCTAAACTAGAGAGGACGTCCCGGGACGCCTCCGACACCCGAGCTTAGCATACAACATTCACACTCTAATTTACGTACCATTTCCTGAAATCGACTGACGAAAGCTAGTGATCATTGCGTAAAATGCTTATTCTTCATTTTCATCATGTTGTCTATATTTCTACTTCAATGATTATTTAAATATCCACGGTCATATTATAGAAATATCCATAATCATTATATAATCATATGTATATTGTCTGAAGTAATGATATTATTAAAATAACTAATACTGTATCTTTCTTTATCACGTCATTTATTAAAATTACTATGTTTGTATTCATTATTACTACTATACTATATTAAACAGTATTGCTTATAACATATTCATACCGTTAATACTTGTGAAATTTATTTATAATTATTTTCAAAATTATATTGTTTCCAATAATTATAGAAACGACGCAATTCCACATCCTAACCATGCACACACATGCGGAAAATACGTCGTGCACGATACACTAACACATCGTCAGTCGCTGAGAAATTATTAAACTTATGAACTATAGTCATCATACCCATTGCCTTTCTCCCACCCAAGTAGCACCTGGGCACGTGAATGAGATCCTGGCAATGAACATGGAAAGGGTTAAACCTGAAAATACTGAGCTAAAAAAAGGATTAATATACTTATTTTATGTAAATTCTATAACGGATTAAGGAAACTGTAGTTTCTTACTTTATTTGAATTTTCAATAACTCTACTTTATAAGTTACTTTAAAAATTTAATAAATTACTGAAATACTATACTTGAATAAAACAAATGAGCAATGAATATATTTATTGAAAAAGAAACAAAGAGTCAATGGGCACAATATCATATTTGATGGACTCTAACTAGAAATATCCTCAGGCGATCTCTTTATCAAAGCTCATTTTGAAAAATAAAAGAAACATTCACGGCTTTGATTCTGAAATCTACCTGTCGCGAAATGTCTTCTTGCACATAGAATTTGATACATTTTTAGACGAATAAAATTGAGTTTTAAAAGTTTCATCAAATTGTATTTAAATTATATTGAATTTAGAAAATTCAAAAACAAAATAAATATTATTCATAATTGTGTAACTATTATTATTAGTAATATACTAATTCCAATTAAAATTGCTATGTTAGCAACGAAGTCGGACGATATCCGTCTTCTCCATTACAATTTACTTAAATATAATTATTGTAGCATTCATTATTTATTTGAAAATTCATATTTTATTATATATATTTTATCTTTGTAAGTTGATATGTATTATTTATCAACAATTATATTATTCATATAAATTCTTCATATTATAATATTATCTTAATATTACATTCATATTAATTATTATTATATTATTATTAATAATAAAAAACGCGATGTGCAAGAAAACCTATCCTGAACTGATAAATAAAACACAGACAAAAAATGTTACTACTCACGGGTATAATTAATACCCGTCGTCACTATGCTCGAGAAAAAAATTTATGTAATACAACCAGTCACCCGTGTCGATTCGAACCTTTCATTCTACGACATGATTGGGTGACTAGAGGGATAGAAAAGCATGCAACTCACGAATAGACATAAAAGATGTTGCCAATGCGTCGCAGTTGTGTATCCAGTATCCAGATGAAAAAATCATGAAGCCCATTAAATAGTAATCGTTAAATTCCAGAATTGAACATTGCAAGAAATCTGTAAAAAAGTAATATTGTAATTTATCTTTAAAAATCATGTTAAATATTTGGAAAGTTTTAAATAATGAAAGATTGGCTAATGATAATATTTAATAAAAAAATTTCCTAATTGATAATAATGTAAAATATAATGAATTGATAATAATGTAAAATATAATGAATAGAATTAAATGATATACAAAATATAAAGTTACTCACATTTTTGGCTTCTGAAGTAACAGTAGCTTTTTCTAAGAAACAGGAAGAAGAGGAAGAAGTGATAAACCTTTAACAAAATATTAATTATTATAATTTATTCTGGAAAATATAGTAATGATTGTTTAAATAATTTGAGATAATTAAATATCTGTGAAAACTTGAAACTTTAGTTTAAAAATTTAAAACTAGACTCTATTTTCTAAACAGTAATTATTGAAGAAAAATACAAGTAATAAAATTAGTTACAATGCAATATGTAAAAATTCTTACATTCTTAATTTTGATGCATCATTCCCGAAGAAGACAAAGTGAAAATTGTGTATAACCTAAAACCAAAAAATTATTATAATGATAATTATATAAATTATATAATAATAATTATTATTATATATAATAATTATAACTAATACTAAATAATTACTATTGATTTATCATAAATAAAAAAATATAGAATATTCGCTTAATGTATATATATATGTAAGAAATTGTTTTATTCATTATAAATTTTATACATTACAATATTTTCTAATAGTTATAAATATTATTAAATAACTATAACCATTTTGTAATACAATCAATTTGTAAAAAATATAATTCTAAATATTCGCTATTAACATTTAATATACTTCATACTAAAAATGTATTTCAAATATGGCGCGTTTTGTTTGACAGCTACCGAAGCTGCGCAGTATTCAAATAATACAATGCGCAGAACATGTTTAAACTTGTCCCTGATTATTAATGTGTATTGACTGAATACTAAATAGATATCAACAATTATTCACTAAAAAGAGGAAATAAATACATCTACTTTCGTTAGAATAAATCAAATGTTATCATACCTCCGTAAAAACATGTCGAACTTGTCATTAATCAGCGTGGTGTCCTTTGGATATTGTGGCGTCTCTCGAATTCATTTCACATTTTCAGAAATCAATCAGTAATCTATACAAAAGAAAATCAAAACTTTCAAATAAATATATACAAGAAAATTAGAAATAGAAATGAGACAAATCAAGGTCAAATGCCATTTGGAAAGCTTAAAACACGAACTAAAATGATTTCAGGAAAGCAAACAATATATAATAAATTATGATAATATTTAATATCTTATTATAAAACATACGTTAATTGAACGAAGTTAAGCATAGTGTGGATATATAGCTTGAAAAGACGATAATAAAAATATTGCACAATATATTTTGACGCAGATAAATAAACACATCTTAACACTACGACTTTATATAAAGGACTAACCTCCCGCGCAACAGGTTCGCATCGCGAACTAATTTGGAAGGGTGGGGGAAGATCCAAATATGCACGAATAGGATTGGCTGATTTACGGAAAAACATACACATAATATTCTAGAATATTTTCAATAGCGAGCATATCTCATATATAGTAAACATTTAATTTAATTTAATGGAATAGAATTGATTAAATTGATGAATGCGAATATACGTACAAGTTTTGGATGATAATGTTTTCTGAGTCAATAGTCATTGTACATAGAAATACATATATATATATATATATATATATATATTCGCTCCTAACCAAATAATGGTGATTGAATTGAACACAATTGAACACAATATTACATAATTTTTTTTAATAATGCTTGCAGATCTAAATCGTAAATCGCCAACAGAAAAACAAGTTAAAAAACTAATCTTTACCTAATAACTTCTGTACGAAACTTGTTGCTTTGTTTCCCGGCAAAAACTGATGCCTGTACTACGTGTACGTTACATAGATCGATCGCAAGAAAATCGATTCGAGAATCGTAATAAATATGTTACATCTTTCACCGTTCGGCGCTGCAATCTTTATTTAAATTAAAATCACTGCGCGCGCATTTCATACAAAGATACATTGTCTAATTTGTATTAATTTAATGAATTTAACTTATTTAATTTGGTAGTACGTAATAAAATAATGTTTCATGTTTCAATGACTTTTCAAAATAATAATAATAATAAATAATTTATTTGTATTAAATAAAATTTTGCTGAAATTCAGATCACTGTCCCAATTCTCTTTCGCAAGAAGCACAGTGTTATTTACTTTAACTCTTTGATGATTAAATTGGATATAATTCTTGTATAAAGTTTTATTTACCTCTTATACCTATTCTATCCTTACTAATTCGTTAATATTAACACGAACAATGTGACGATACGATAAATTTGAAATTTTACTTCACGCCACTGTCACTAGGAAACGTCTAGTTCAGGTACGCATTTTCAAAATTTATTTTCATACAAAATTCTATAATTTATTATAAATATTTTTAAAGTAAATGTATAACGTGAAATAATAATATTAACAAATATATTATGTTTACAAAAGATGTCGAATTCATTTAACAAATTGAATGAAATAAAATAATAAATTTTTCTTAAAATTTTTCGAATGATTTTTAAAAGACAAAGGGAATAGAACAAATTAGATGGCAGGAATAATTCAAAAATCTCGCAAAGTATCAAACGAGAGTGTCTTCTTTTTTATTGAATTATATATAATTCGTTTTTGGAAAATATGATATATATATATGTATATAATATAACAAGAAATATAATTAGACTGACATGAGTTCTATCAAATTGTCCGGCTCTCTATGATGTTGTGCATCTTTGGGTTGGTAGTATAGCTCTTTTGTTTCCACCATACGATTCCTAATTGCATTCACCTTCTCGGTCACCTTCGTGATGCATATGCATACGAATTCTTCGATTCGTCGTAGGTTTTTTCTTTTGTTATTTCCCTTTCCTTGCCACGCACGCTCGCTCACTCATTCTCTCGATCATCTTCCTGCAACTCTTTGAGGATCAGTATACATATATGCATATGTATATCTTGTTAGATATCTTCACTACATATACTTTTCCTTTAAATTATATACAAAATATAGAAAATTCTTCTCCATAAAATTAATACAAATCATACACTCTTCTACAAAAAAACAACCATTTCAATGAAAATACAATCTCTCTGAGACTCAAAGAGTTAATATCGTCTTGACACAGTGTTCAGCCCAATATTATCAGTGAATACATTTAAATCATCCTCTTGTTTCTTAATAAATATTAATAACTTCCTCACAGAAGAACAAGAAACGAGTTAGAGATATCCTGCACGTAAATCTCAGTCCAAAAGAAAACTCTAAATTATATAATATTAAGCATAAAGGCACAGCCATCGTTTGCTCTTGTTTCACGTGATATGTCGAACATAAAGGAAAAAAAAAAAATCAGTTGTGATCTGGAAACAATGCAAATACGCAAGTGCAGCTCTCTCGAATCTTGCCCTCTTTCCACATCTATTTTCAATCAAAATCAATTCATCATTTCAAATATATTCACCGTGGCACCATCGCGTTCCAAACTCACTTGTCGTGGAAAACGATCTTGCGAGATAACATCTTTTTTTCCTTTTTTTTTTAACAATGAGACGTCGAGTTCACGCCAGCTAACATCTAAAGAGATCGGCAATGCGCGAATCGTCATTTGGTTATTTCCTGCGTCCCGCACAGTGTTCAATGATGAATGAAACGATAAAGAACGCTAGAGAATCAAATTAAAGGGTTGCCGATCTCTGATCTAACGCGCTACTTGCGGATGCGACGCACAAGAAACAGTAGGACGAAGTTGCCAGAACTTCTCTCGAAATTATAACTGAAAAACACTTGTACAGCCGTGGAATTAATCAACTAATTTACACCTCTTTTTGAAAACAGACATTCCTGCCGCTTCTTGTGGAGCAACGAGTTTCTACGACGAGTCGCACAAATAACAATCGAAAATTACCCTCCTCCTCCTCACGTGGACGAAAAGTTTCAGCCGCGTGCCGGTATTTTATATCGGGGATCAGCTAATTCGCGCGCAGAAATTAATCAATTTTCAGGCACGCAGCTACACTTAAAGGCTAACGAGTCTTCGACGTGGCGACGCAATCAACAGAAGGTGATCAGGAAGATGTAAGGATCTCCAAAACGGAAAAGCTTCAAAAACTTTCATGTGCTCATTCTTTCGTATTCATTCTCATCTTCAATTTGTTTGTTTCTTATTTTTTTTTTGTCTTCTCACCCTTCATCTTCATCCTCTCCCACTCTCTCACACACGAATTCTCGTTTTTAGTTTCTTTTTTTTTTTAAATTCTCTCGCTACCATCAATCTCCTTTTTTTCTTATGTTGCATACAAAAATAGTAGGAAACGAACGTGAGGTCTTGCGAAGTCACAACGACTTCATCACCCGTTCTCTTCGATCGTTATATAGTTTCTTTTTTTTTTTCTTTTTTTTTTTAATATTCCCCGAGCCCATTCATCATCCGATAATCGAACGATTCTCTTTCTTTCTCTCTTTCTCTGTTGTTTCTTTATCCCTCTGTTTTTCTCTTCTTACTTTGTTAAAATAGCTCAGGCAAACTTACGAAATCACTTGTGAACGGTGCTCGATATAACTACCGATCACCTCGAAAATCTGAATTCTTTCTTACACATAGTTTCTCACAGTTTATAACATATGTGTATTAAATAAAGCAATTATCTGTAAAATAAGAACGACCGTGGTGTAAGAGGTAGCTGCATCGAGCATCCTGATAAAAGCGCATGCGAGCGAAATGAAAAAATAAATAAATGTGACTGTGCAATTACAATCATGACTTTGGTTCAGCTGCTCCGGTTGCACATTAAGCGCGAATACCTGCAAATAACGCTCGACCATAAATTATTATTATTATTATACAATATTATGTACTTCTTCCATTGTTTTCTCACGTCCCATCCTCGTAATATTTCAAAATAATGTGTTTGAACGTGATGAGTAAAATGACGAACGACACTTGCAGGCGATTTTTCTCTCGATAGTCGATTATAATCCTGTTTCACTTTTTTTTTTCTTTTCCTTCGTTTGTTAATTATGTTTTAGAGAGATTCATGAACTGTTTTTCTTTTTTTCTTTTTTTTCTTTAAGTTATAGGTACAATTATCTTCATTAATCACTACGACGACTTTAGGTACAGTTAAACACTACTTTGTTGTGCGCCCATCTCTTTATAATTGAAACATTTGGGTTCTCTTTATAATTGAAACCGTCTAATATTTATTCTGCTTAGGTTTCTCTTTCGTTCCCAGGCTACGTCTTTCTCTCTCTCTCTCTCTCTCTCTCTCGCGTTCTCTCTTTTTGTTTTACTCTTTCTTTTCACTCATTTTCATTTTTAAATCTAAAACATTTTAGTTAAATTTATCACGCTTTCTTACGAAGAAAGTAGTGCCTCTCTTTCGCGTCGCTTGGCATAGGGTAGATAAAAGGTCGCGGTGCGCGCGTTTTTTTTTCTCTCGTTTTAATTAACTTCACATAAAAAGATAGGCACACCCTTCACCTACGTCCTGAAGTACAATCACCGTAAGCGAAGCTTCTGGATGGATTCCACTTGGTATTTCTCGTGCGAAACAACGTACACATCTTGCCAAAAACCAAGAACGATCTTTCAATTATGTTCGAAATATTTAAAAAATTAAATCTAACACAATTTCGGGGAGCAGATCGATTATTAATTAAGTATGAATATTAATTGTGACACCAAGATCGTCTACGTTGATCCGCAGATGAATTATTTTCACAGACGGAGACATTATTAATTACGACAATCACGCGTCACCATCACCGCTGCCAAACTAATATATATATTGCTTCTTCATAGAATCGGGCGTGAAAAGTATATCTAATTACGTAGTTCGGATATCTATAGGATACAGAAGCGTGCTGTGAAGCTTGGAAGACGAATCATAGTTACTGTGTGAAGCATCTGTTGCATTTTCATTTTCATTCTCCTCGCGGAGGAACCTTACAAAATAATAATGCTTGTCATTAAACGTGCGCGTCTCGTATTGGCTAAAACTTCACATCAATTCCCTATTTATGGACAATCAACGGAAAAAGGAAAAGAATGTATTTCTTCTTCTTTTTTTTTCTTTTTTTTTTAAAGACGCATGCGAGGCAGGTTTTTTTTCTGTGACACTAAAGCTGTGATGGTTTCGCGCTACTTAACTACTTGTGTCGAACTAGTTATATAGATCCATATACTGAATACGTTTACATGTTCTCTTCACGAGCGATACGTTAACTTGTACTAAAGTAATCGTCAGAGATCAGAAGCGTTGAGGAATCTTAGAATGCAAGGTATCATAGGGAGACGATTATTATGCCAGAGAGGATGTTTCGAATATAAATCACGTTTCTCTCCTTGATCGAAAACATTTCGTTTACGCGATACTTATATACAATAAATCACATTGCAAATATCATTAAATATTCGATGAAATCGTGGTTAGTCTCGTTCCTCGAATGAAAAGAATCAGAAGCTTTCTTGAAAGAGTTTACAACTTCGTAAAAGGCCGATAACATGAAAAATCTTTTCGATATAAAATTGAGGTAGCAAATAATTTCATTCTGTCCGCGAATCATGACTGGCAGCAATTACTTTTGTTCGTCCTGCTTCTTCTTTCTTTCCTTTTTTTTTTTTACTTTTTTTCTCGTTTTGGTTTTGTTTAAGATTAACGCAATTCTTTTGGTGGCAGTACACAGAAGAATCAGTGAGCAATGATCATTCCTGAAAGAACGTAGATCCGACCAAAAGATTCTGGCTGGACAGCGTTTGCGGCTGCTACTGTAAACGTACTCAGTAACGTGTATTTATATAATACTCGTACATTATTTGTAATAAGGATTTCCTAGCCAGTCGAGACTGATCTGTAGACCGAGCCAGGCAATCCATGCATATATATCTGTGTTCATTTTAAAAGTACTTTTTCTTAAAAGTAAATCTCACATTCATATAGTATCTGTAAAACCGCGATTAAAATATCTCCAGATATAATATAATATACTGTATATATAATATATAATAATTATAATAGTTAAAATTCTGTTCAGTAACTCGGTTCGGTGTGTACCACTGTGCCTATCGTTCCCTACGCCAAAAAACAACGCACAGATTATTCTTTTCTTTGCACATGCAATATATTTTCCTTTGCTTCTCCTTTTCTTTCTTCTTTTTTTTCGAATATTCTGATAATTCAGATTTTTATTCGGTATGAACGAATTCCATGTGGCTTCCTTTTTCTTTTACATCTTTTTTTTTGTGTGTGTATGTGTGTGTTGGTATTATCATTCACCGCGTTTTATCAAAAGGGATGTATAACGCTTTCTTTCTTTTTTTTTTTTTTTTAATCTTAGAGATGGTTTTCGTTCTCGTTTGTTTCTTCTTCGATTTTTGTGAATTTTATACTTTAGTTTAGTATGTGCTTTTTATATCTCTTTTCTCTTAGATATTTAATTAAAGATATCGTTAATATTATTAATAAGAATCGTGTATGTATGTATAGCAATAAACCACGAGCTGCTTATCCAGATTCCTTTCAATCAGCCTAACGATTTAATTGCCTTCTTCTTCATGTTCAGCGCTGATCCTTTTTTTCCAAAATTGGCCCAGGTATTTAATATTGTACCAGTTGGTTCCGCCGGGTGATTGTCACCTTCACGGTCCCTGCAAATAAAAGATTATTTCTGAGAGCAGCGCTAGTTCCCTTCATTGAGCCAATTGTAATACAATGCCAGTGAATTGTTGTTGTGCAAATCAGGATTGCGTTAAAATGAGTGTCTTAGTATATCATATACATATATATATCAACTGATCTAAAGCGTACTTCCATGTATAGAGATCGCACGATGAGTTGCAAATGTGTAGTAATAGCTGTAACTGTAATATGAAAAAGAAACTGAAAAACGTATGGCTTTCGAATCAAAAATTCACCGTGTATTCAGGTATATGTTTCGAGAGTAACTCAAGAAGAAGAAAAAATGAACTGATAAAAACTTAGAAACTTACTGTGCAGCAAACGTAATATGTTTGCGTAAATAGATGACAAGAAAGTAAATACTCGTATAGAAACCTGTGCGCATGAGTGTGTAAGCGTACAGTGCTACAGTCGTATATGCTCTGAAAATTGATGCTTCCTATTTTTTTTTTCAATCTTGAGAAAGAACGATTATATGTATGCAATAATAATAATCTCTGGGCGACTTACGCATCAACAGGATATGCTAAAATAGGAAGTATTTTCCAGGCACACTTTTTCACACGAACAACAAATATCGGCAAAGCGAAATCAACGCATGTGAAGAAGCACCTATATTACAATGTAGATATCGTGTGTTCTTTTTGTAGTATTTTATACTGAAGTTCTGTACCTTATATCATATTGTCTTCCACAGGTTTCGCTTTTAAGGAGATACAAGAACGTGTCAAAAATTGTGTCACATTTCATTCTTCATAAGCGAAACAAAAGTAGAAAGTAACAGAACTTTCAAGCAACGTACCGAGCGGACATCTAACTAATTAATGAATAATGACGGTCTTTACCTTCTCTGATATCTTTCGGAACGTTAGATGAGAGCGATGGCATGGAAGGAGTCTGATAGAGATTGGGCCGCGCGCCTGTTGGTGGCAACGGTGCTACTTTGGACCTAACGAACAATTTACATTACCGCCTTCCTTTCCCATTTTAACACGCTGCACTTTCGATATTTAGATGATATCAAAGCAATATGGAATAATTAATATATTTTTTTTTTCTTAAATATATAATAGAACTACTGCGATATTTTAATAATTGATTGAGCTCAGTAAGAAAAACAATAAAAATTGGTAAATCACCTCTGTTTACGAATTTTCTGATTTCTTCCATCAAACGAGGTTGGTGTACCAGCACCTGAGTTGTTCGACGAATAAGAAGGCGGTCGGTATGGTCGTGGACAACCTTGAACAACAGGTGGTGATGGTACTGGTGCATACTGTAACCGCGGATTGGCTGGTACTGCGGGATGCATTAATCTCATATCTCCTATAATACGAAACAAATAATTAATATAATAAAATAATAAGGAATATCCAATAAACAAATAATTCAGCAAATTATACCTTGAACAATATGGACACCCTGATACATTGGCAGTGGGTAGCGTGGTTGGGGTTGTGCGCTTCTGTCCCCGCTCCCACTTCCGAACAGTTCATGTGCTGGAGTCGGTGACCTGCTAGTCCTCTGAGAGTTACCTGGCGTTGAAGCTCGAACGCCAGCAACAACCTAAGACATACATTAAACATTCTTCGCTATTAAATTTCATTTCACTGTTTTAAGAAACTTACAGGAACATTTTGTCTAAAAACGAGGTTGGGAACCAGCGCAGGAGTCATGTAAGTTCCAGGAGGTGCAGGAGAAGTTCCATTGTGTCCAACTTGATGGCCAAATGTTCCGTTGGATACCATCGTTGGTGGCGGATAACTACCAGAGTTGACGTACATCAATGGCATTCCAGGCATCTGTAAATTAATTGATTATAGGATTTATTAATTTGATGATTTTTACTACTAAAAGCAATGTTTTCAAATTACGTGTATAATAACTACCTGATTAGAAGTTGGAGTATTTGGTGGTGTTGGCACTCTGTACATGACAGGTGGTGGCTGAATCGCCGTTTGACTTGGTGGATAGTACGTAGGTACCATATGAACTGGTGGTTGATACGTGTAATCGCCTGGTGTCGGTGTTACAGCGGGCATCGAATTGTAAGGGACTGGATAATTACCCACGTAATTAGCTAGCATAAAAATAATACAATTAAACAATTATCACGCCGCAATTACATCAAAATTCACTCACAATTTGATTGGCTCGGAGGAGTCATAGTTTGTGCATTGAAAGAGTAATTTGTTGTAAATCTCTGTTGCTGATGCAATGGTTGTCTGTCACTTGGACCTTGACTGACTGAAAGCGCTGCACCAGGCGGAGGTACGAAATACATCGTTTGTTGTGGCTACAAAAAAGACAAAAAACCGGCGAATTAATACGAAAGTATATTGCAGAATATAACAAAGTAGTAAAATTGAATACCGGTACAGAATTAGGCGGTGGTTGCCAGTAATTTTGTGGCATCGTCTGTACATTCTGTACTGCCTGATTTGTAGATGGTTGCGGTTGCGGGTAAGATTGCGGTGGCGTAGAATGATTATCACCGGTCATGCGTTGGTCGTAGATACTCATGCCCATGAAATATCCCGACAATTCAGTTATCTCCGTTGTCTGCGACACTGGTCCTTGTTGCACAGGTACTGCATAATTCGCGTAAACCGAATTCTGATTAAATACATCACTCTGACCATTGTTTTGAATATTTGCCTGATTTTGGCTCGGATGAGGAGCCATCATCACAGTCTGTTGCCCCACGGAGGGTGGATAGACACCCTGGTTATACGGCTCTGAGGTAGGTACGTAGGTCGTGTATGGTTGAGCTGCTTGGTTATGATTACAAGTTTGCACCGTCGATGACGATTTGACTAGAATTTGTTGCTGCTGCGGTTGCTGTTGTTGATGTGGTGGTTGTTGTTGCTGCTGTTGTTGCTGCGTTTGCTGCTGCTGTTGTTGCTGCTGCTGCTGCTGCTGTTGTTGTTGCACTGGTCCTGAATTCTGTTGAGGTGGTGGCGTGAATGGCAAACTCGGCGATGTTGCGGAGTTTGTTACATGAGTCACCGTCGTTGTATTGCCACCGTTGTGCTTGTTAGACTGCGATTTCTTTTTATTATCATTCTTTGCGTTATTCTGTGTCACTTTGGATGGCTCGGATACTTCTATATTCTTGGTGGGCGACATACTATTATTCCTTTCATTCTCGTGCGGCAATGCAGCAGTATAAAATTTAGGTGGATTCTCCGGGTCAAAACGATAAATCGAACCATCCGGATTGGTGTACGGCTGATTCGTTTGTGGATTTATAATTATACTGCCTGGCGGTACGCTGGATATACTGGTAACCGCCCACATCACCGTTTGGTTATTCGACTCCGGAGAAGCAAGATCCTGACTAGATACTTGGGTGTGACTGCAGGTCATGGTCGCTACAGGGGATGGCGAAGGAGACGGCGATATTGTGGCATCGCTACGTTGACTCTGTGATTTATAGCCACTGCTCGAAGGACTTAGCCGTGAACACATACTAGCACCTGAGTCTGTAACAGATATAATCTCTAATTTATAGACGTATCGCGCAACGTAAAACTTATGCGTCTAAAGAAATGATTTATGAATGGATAAATTCGTAAAGAATTGAACGCGAACCTTGCTTCATAAGACGAGCCCCTGCGCTATGAGTAGACGTAACACTGTCCCCTCTAGAAAGCATCCCCCTGGTGTAACCGCCAAAGCTAAAGGATTTGGAAACGGATGGTCTCAACACGGAACCACGACAGGATTCTCTTCCGTCGAAAGATTCCCCTTTCAACAGCTTCGATTGCCTATTACACACGCAGCATAATCTTCCTCTTACATTATATACGTACAACAGTAAAAAAACTATTATTAGAATATTCACCTCATTGTATGATCCGAAGGATGTAACAAACGATATCTCGCAGAAGCGTCAGAGCTTTCCGAAGAGGACCAATAAGGCCAGGAAGTAACTTCGCTACTGTCTCCGCTGCTGTCCTTAAATATTCTTCGTCTGGCACGTTCGTACTCCTCCTCCCTTTCTTCGAAACTCTTATTCTGTCGACAATAATCGCCGGACAATCTATCAGGCGACTTAAAATTGAAACTGTCCTCAAACGAGCTGGAATCTCTCTTCAGAATACTTCTTCGTGGTTCTTCCGATAGAATCAGATCATCTCTGATGTGTTCTTTGAAACGAGTGTTTGGAATTCGCATGTTTTTCGTCCTAGTAACTATCACACTGGAACCGGACTGATCGACGTTATGTTCCATGCCAAAGTAAGCTGCCACGCGATGCACCAGCATTCTATTGTAAGAGGACATGTTTGGAAACTTGTGACAGACTTTCTGTTTGTCCTTCGCGAACTCTATCAGATCTTTCTCGATTCTTAGTAGCACCGTGCGATCCTTCTGATTACGATTTATCGTTTCCGCTATGAAATGTTCTAGGTCTATTCCGGTACTGTCTGTGTATAATTCCGTACTACTATCTATGAAGAAGAAAACATTGTTTCGTCTTAAGATAAACACAGGCACTTGAAGTAATTTAACTGAAAAATTGTTGCAACAAGAAAGTAGCTCTACTATTTTCCAGTAATTTAAGTAAGCCATCAAAAATCAACTTATAATCATTCAAATATAATCAACTAATATCTATAATAAAGTTTTTCATTTTGGAATACAAAATTTTTGCACAGATGAAGAACATGATGAGGCATATTTTCTTTCTATTTTCTAACTATTTAGAATATTAATTACGAAGACTAATATTAATTAAATTAAATTAATATCATTCGTTTCTTGCAAAACATTGCAATGTACAAAATATACAAAGTAGAGTGCTAATTGTAACATTTAGTAGATGAAACAAATCTCTGCTTTCGTTTCAACATTTACGATAGCACCATAAAATTATATGAAAAATTTCGAATACACACCTCGCGAGAGGCAAGGAGACGCGCTATCAAAGCTACCCTGGGAAGAATTTTGATGCCTGAGCTTGTGCCGCGAACCAGGCCTGCTCACGGACAAGGTGTTGCCACACTGCGTCGTACATTGATTGTTACAGATGTTCAACGTATTCGGTCTACGTTGTTCCAATTTTTGCTGATTGTTCACGTTTTGAGCCAGGTTTGTGCTCTTCGGCGAGTGTTGCAATCCCTGGCCGGTCTTCGATGGTGACACAGGCGTCTGAAGCAGGCCGGGCCGGTCATTCTGATTGTTCTTCACGCAGTTATTGCATTTCTGGATCACATGCGAGCCTGTCATCTTGGAGCGCTGGTTCTCCGATTTATTGCCGTTTGTTGGAGAGGTATTGTTCTTTGGCGACTGAACTTGCGAGGGACTAGATTGACCTGTGATCAGAATAAATTCGGTGTCTGTCTGTCTGTCGCTGCGATGACGATAAAATCCAGTTAAAAAAACATGTCCGTGAACGAGCGGGTGTTACCATTTCGTGACGGTGTTCGACAAGTGGGCGATGTGGCTGTGTTACGCATTTGCTTCGGGGATTGATTCGGACAAAGATTACTGTTGAACATTGACTCGTTGTTATTGAGCTTGGCGTTAGTGGAATTCGGTGACAGGCTGCCCACGAACTTTTTTTCACCGTCCACCGACTGTGGACTGTGCGGAGACGACGAACCGTTGTGTGGCTCCCTCGGGGGAGACGTCGACTCTCTCATAGCATGGCTCCTGACCAGCAACTTAACTTTCGTATTTGTCTAAAAAAGGATTTCACATGCTCGTTTTAACCCTTTATGTGCGAAATTAAATTATCTACGATATTTGCATTAAATTTGCATTAAATTTTTATTTAATAAAATGACATATTGTAAACATGGAGAAGAAAAAAAATTTTCTAACAATTTAATGCACAGTAGAGTACACTCAGTAGTGAATCTCTGTTTTTCCTATTATTCGAATGTTATATCACCAGAATAGAATATCTGTTAGTCTGTTGTGATAATATAGTGTATCGAATATTAAAATATTGTGGAAGTTCACGTAAAGGAGGTTCTACTATCTAAAAGACAAGATGTAGCACTATAGAAAGACTAACATATAAACATTCTCTCTGCTATCTTGCAGCGATTCACAAATGTTTATGATTTTTTAAGCATTAAGGAATTGCTGTCACATTGAAACGACACAAGTGTTTGTATGAAACGGTAGTATTTTGTATTAGCAGAATATAAAGGGTTAACGTGCATGCCTTGGTAACATAAATTAGAAACTGGGATCCTTGAAACATCCCATTGTCAGACACGTACCCTGGTACGAAAGTTCTTGTTCTCTGTGTCTGATTTGTCAGGAGGACAGGAGGGCGAGCTACGGTGATGAGAATTTGATGTAGGAGAAGAGCCGACATTCGGATTGGCATTCCCGTCTATCATATCCGACTCCGGGCTGTTCTGATATGATGTATTGGAGCCACTTATGACAAAGCCTTGCCTAGAGGATGGCAGTGAGGGCATTCCTCCTCGCACTACCACCGTGGGACTCTCAGGTCGGCTATGCGACCTGCTGCTGCCTTTATGCACCACTATACTTGGTACTGAAACAACAAAAACGCAGGTCTGAACCAAGTTTATCGAGAAACTCTTAGTTATTTTTCATTCGTCATCAGCTGGATCGTATATCCTGTTCCTAAGCTGTTTCGTTCAATTACAGTTGTTTCGTAGACCCCCTGAGTGTATTAATACTAAGTACACTGGTTCACCAGGGGGGCAAAACGGCAAAAACGGAAGCAGACGAATTTCTTGGAAAGATTTGCTCAGCCAACGCGCGCGCTCTCGTGAACGGTCGTTGACTAGATCAAAATTTTTAAAGGAGGAAAAGCGACGAGGAGCCAGAGTAAACGAAAAATCGTGAGCGTGAATAACACTTACTCTCCAGGCGGGCCATGTGTTAAATGCGTCATGGGGTTACGATGCAGGACTCTGCAACTGGTGGGTTCAAATAGGTGCAACTGGGTTAGTACGTGAATCTTTCGGGTGGCGTGCAGCTCGTGGGGCTGATACAAGGAGCCAAATCACTGCACGTCCACCTTCCAACATCGTACACTCTGTAAGCAAATACAACATAACGGTCATGAATTCTTTTCAAAAACACACAGAAACCCCGTTTTAACCGAGAATAGAATGAGAGAACGAAATTAAAAAAATAGCTTTATGGATCTATGAATGATCTTTCGACTCGGTGATGTTAATCGGATCTTGCTTGCAAATTGATCGTCACACTTTCGTGCATGCAGGCAGTGTTACACGCGACAAAACTCGATCACCTCGAGTGACAAAAGACTTTTGTTAGAACAATGTCTCCCAAAGATTAACGAACCAAGTCGGGAAACTTTCACGGTTCTGTGAACTATCTCTTGTTTGGGAAACACCGTGGAACGAAATTATCATGCGCAAGAACGAACTTACAATCAATTACAAACACTATAGTTCGAAGGTATTATGTGTGTACTATGTGCTCAAAAGCGTTAACGTTCGCTGGAATACGTACGATTACAATCAAACGCGTGTTACGTTCGCAAATATCGTCGCTCACTGAACAACAAATGTTTCCATCGATTTCATTCAACCTGCACTTTGATTTACAAATCGTCTATCTCTACGGTGAAAGAAAAGGGAACGACGTGAGTAAAGGGATGAATCGGTATTTCTTGTTTTCAATAGTAAAATCATAACCAACCTCCAGAGGCCAATCTCCATGACGATTAATTGACAAAGAGTAGCAATCATCGCGACAAAGTGACTCGAAAAAAGAAAAAACAACAGCTACGTGTTCGTTCGAGGCATCCTCTCTTTTTCTCTTCTCTCTTGACTAAAACTCAACTCGTTATTCACTGTCTTCGATCCACGACAAACGCACGATTTATCATTAACTTATCGATCATCGTCGTTGAAACCTATCTTCCGTTTTTCACACCGAAAATATTCTCTCCCCTTTCACCTTTCGCGATTCTCGATTTCTTTCTTTTTCGAAGCTTCGTCGTTACACTCGTCAAGCTCTAAAAAAAAAAAAAAAACAAATTAATAGAGAAGATCAGTGTTAAGCTTGAGAGATCTGGCGTAGAACAGAAGGAGGAATCGTGCGAAATAAACTTCGGAGTTCGTTAAAAAAAAAAAAAAAAAAGAAAAAGTGGTCGACGCGATAAGAATTCAGATAGGTCAGTTCCCGAGATGCTCGATAAGAACGCGTTCACACGAAAGGGCACGCGAAAACATTGTCCAAAAATATCCAGATACGCAAATGTAAAATCGATGCGATATCACTGGTCTCTTTTCTTTATATCGGCGCGGCGTTAACTGACAATCTGCTCAACGATGCCAAATTCATTTTTCCAAATTAAGTAGCAGGGGTCAATGCGGGTTAATGCTCGGGCTGGACAATGCGCCTGAGACCGATCGACTCGATCACTTGCTAACTTCGATAGATCACCGAACGTTTCGATCCTCTTGAACGTTTAACTTTTATCGTCGACTCGTTTTTCCTTCGATCTGCGTCCAAAAATCAATGTCAGTTAACAGTATCCTGCAGTCGCAGGATTAATTTCAGACATGGACGATCCAGAACGATCAAAACGCAGAACAGATCGGTAAACGAACGTCGAGGACGAGCGTCGAACAGGCGCAAGATCGCACACGATTTCCGTGCACAAGAAGATCCATCGTAGATCACGTCTCGCGAGAGACGACCTTCCACCCGCGATTCCCTCCCGTTTTTTTCGTACCGTAAACCGGACGCACGCGTTGGCCGGGCTCCACGGCGTCTCGAAAATAGCAATACACTCTTTCTCTGTCGGCCTGTTGCGATCCCTTCTTCGCCGCTATCTCGAACAACCACCACGTTTCCTTCCTACCAAGATGATCCATGCTCCCCCGTGAACCGAGTTGCCAGCGTGTTCATCTTCCAGCAGCTGACAGGGTAGAAACGCGAAAACCGAAGGTGCGAAGAGAGGCCGAACCGAAGGTGGAAGGATCAAGAAACTGTCACTCTGTCACCGAAAGAGGTGAGAAAGAGGAGCGAAGAAGAGAGAATAGATAGATAGATAGATAGATAGATAGATATATAGAGAGAGAGAAAGAGAGAGAGAGAGAGACACTGGGACACACGTAAAGAAGACCTGGAGCAGCCCACGATCTATCGTGTGCAACGATACGTCGCCACGAAATCGCTTTGCGCGAGAGACTGAGAGAGAAACGCGGCGCGGTCCCTCGGATCGCGGACTCGACGAGGAGAACGGTATCGAGAGCGTGCGAGACAGACTCTGCTAGAGGGAGGGACGGAGGAAGAGAAAGAGAAAGAGAGAGAGAGAGAGAGAGAATGATTCGGCTAGCCAAAGGACGCTAGAACACGGAAGGGGTTGGAAAAGACCGAAAGAGAAAAAAAAAAAGTGGAAGAAGAAAACAAAGATACAAGGGGGGAATTGAAAAATTCTCGACAAAGATGAGAAGGTAGGGGACATGAGAATAAAGAACGAGAAGGAATGCTCTTGCGAAGCAAGAGAGAGCGAAGAGAATCCGTGTGTCGGGCAAGTGCACGCGTGCGCGTGTTTCTCGAGTGTACCGGGTGTCGAGGGAATCACTGTTCTACGGTTGCTGTATGTGTAATGTCGTTTTCCCAAAAGATTTTAGCACACCATTGTAGTTATCGTAGTATTTTCATTCCTAATTGAAGATTACAGAAGAAAAACATGATAAGTAAAATTATGTTGATTGTTTTTTTTTTTTTTTAAGTCTAATGTCGCTTTGCGATTAAAAGCGAATATTTTTACATGAAATAGATAAAATTGGCAAGAATGATAGTTGATGAAGTTTTATAGAAATCAAAGATATAATTGTACTTTTTTATATTATGACGAGTATTTTTGAAATTATGGAGAGAATGAAAAAAAAAAAGAATTCATGTTTAAACCTCAGAATTGTGAATTTAAATTTCGGAAAAATGCCGCGAAAGTTGCTGGCAATATAAATTTATAAGTTAAATACTGAAGAACACACGAGAAGACATACAAGTCCATTTTTATCTATCTCTTAATTTTTGAGTAACTTGCTTGGTTCATAAATATAAATTTCCTAAAAATAAAATAAATTTGTAACATTCTTTGAATAATTAATTAATTAATAAAAAACATAATCAATTAAAAGAACAATTTAAAAATTGCTTATCATGTTTTTTACCTGTACTCTACGTTTGTTAATGCATAAATTATTTGAAAAGAACCGGTAACAAGTAGATGCCACGTACTTTTGAGTTTCAAAATTAATAATTCTTAGAAATCTAACATTGTGAAACTCGTTCGCTGCTGAAAAACAATTACTTTAATTAGATACGTAGTGTTTTAAAGAGATTATGCGCAATTAAAGTTTCATTTGTACCAACTTAATAATTGTAAGATGAGATTCTGATTTTTAGACCTTCTTAATTATGTAATAATATTACTTAATTGATAAATTATAGATCATAGTTTACAGACCGTTGTTTTATAACATTAGTCAGTAATCAGTGCGGAGTAAATAGAATCAGTTGATCCATAATTTTCATTAACTTGGTGCAAAAAAATTTATCAATATCAATCATTTGGATATTTAACTTACGATTTGCAAAATTTCACTATAACATAATATTATTTTAATTGTGCAAGAGAGTTCTGATCTTTCAAGATCTTTCCGGCATGCAATATAAATTTTAGAAGTGTTTTAGATCACTTCAAAGTTCACGATGGTTTCAAGATATTAAACTGACACATACAGAGACAACAGCTTTGATACTTCGTGAAACAATCTGGAAAAGTAAATTTGAAAAATTAAATTCATGTTTTGACTGGAAGATTTTCAAAATCATGAGATCAAAGAAATGGAAACTTTCTAAAAAAGTTCGCTGTTTTACGATTCCACTGTTTTCTTTGACTGTTCGCAGAAGGTTTCTACGAAAGTTTTTATAGATATATTTTATGCAACTTACAAGTGTTTGCCCTTCAAACTATAGAAGAAAGAGCAGCACACACGTTCATTTCGATAGAAATTATCGATGTCGGCTACACGTTAACTTGTTTCTGAATATGCACCGATCACACGATGCTAGAACGTTACAAATTGACTTGCAATACACACGCGAGCATACCAACAAAAGCCAAATAGTTTCATCGTAAAAGCCAACTGCTTCCCTTTTCCTGGATTTCTCTGCTCGTTCATTTTTGAAAAGCTCCTCGTTGGAAAAGGATACCTTGAAAGAACCGACTGAACTCGTGGTACTTTCTTTCTTAGAATGATCTCAGGAACGTTCCTTTGATAAGATCGCCATATAAGATGGAGTAATTAGGAAAGCGAGAAGAGAAAGATCAGAAAAACAATTTGTGTAGAAACGTCGTTCATTCTAGGATTCATCTTGCGGATTTCCACTTGTAACAATATTTTCTTTTATAAAGTGAACTTGACAACGTATCCCCATAAGATGGGATAATTAGAAAGGATTCGTATATTTCTACTTTCCAGTGATACTTTCTTTTATAAAGTGATCTTCAGAAATGTTTCTTTGATGAAACCACCGTATACTGCGTAAGACGGAGCAATTAAAAATAAAAAAGAATATGGAAACAATTTGGATACACTGATCAACCTCAACTATTCTAGGACTCATACTCCTATTTCTAAGGATATTTCCTTTTATGAAATGATCTTCAGAAATGTTTCTTTGATGAAACCACCGTATACTGCGTAAGACGGAGCAATTAAAAATAAAAAAGAATATGGAAACAATTTGGATACACTGATCAACCTCAACTATTCTAGGACTCATACTCCTATTTCTAAGGATATTTCCTTTTATGAAATGATCTTCAGAATATTTCTTTGACGAAATCATCACAAGATGATAAGATGACAATTAAAATTGTAGTTAAAAGTAGAGAAGCGTCAGAGAAATAAATTACATTGAAACATCGATCGACTACAATCCAGGACTTGTATTTCCACTTGCAGAAGCAAATTCATTCCTGATAATAGCAAGATACAGTAGGTCAGATATAAAACTTTTACTACCCCATATTCGGAGGATCATGTTTCCGTGGAAACTATCACAATTTCTTAGGCCATGATACGTGTTCTCGTGTGTATGTCTACGCATGCACGTATGACTTGCTGCAAATGGTGTCTATGACCCATATAACACGCCCAAGCGTAACTAGGTCATGCACCTCTGTATCCCCTGGAATAATACAGGGTGTCCTCCTTTGAAGAAAGAACTAGGTCTCCGGTATCGGTTAAACGAAAGTAAAGAAACAAAAAGGGGAAAGAAACTGTCCACTATCGTCCGTAAGTATTTGGATACATTCTAACGAAATATACTCCAAATTAGAATTTTTAATTTAATTCTGACCTTTGATCTTATTTGAGATTTAACTATATATATATATATATATATATATATATACACCATAGATTCACCAAATATTTCTACTAAAATACTGCTAAACACAATAGTTGACATTGATTAGTATAAATAAAAAAAGAATAATTGAAAATTTATCCTGCAGATACATTTGAGTGGCTTTAAATATATGTGTGTTCCATATTAGAATATTAAAGCGTTCAAGCCACATTGTAAATGTTTCTATAAATTTTATGAAGTATCAAGCATTCATTTGCGGGACACTTAAACATAGAATTTGAATGACGCAGGTATATTCCTTGTTTCAATTTCATCTTAACAAATCATTGCAAAAGGATCGTTCTTCCATTGTAAGAGCTGAAAATGTAACAAAAATATTAATCTTTTGATCGAATTGTACCAACTGTTGAAATACTTATGGACGATAGTCTATAGTAGCTACAAAAAGTATTGACATATAATCATATTTACATACCAATTAATCAGGTCCAATTATATTCAATTTTATGTCATTTGCTTTTACGTAAAAATAATAATATAAAGAAACGATATTATGAAAACGAAAGGGAGAGATTCTGACCAGAAAATGCTTCGTTGGAAAACACTTTTTACAGTCACTGTACGTTCTTTAATTTCACAGGGTTACGGAACGAAGGTTGAAATATATTCTCGAGCTAATTTCAAACTGTTTGATGGCTTCCGGCACGCGACAAACCTAGGCTATTCCTCCCGATGACGCATCCTGAATCAGTCCCGAGGACGTCGATGCCAGGTTATTCCGTGGGATGACGACAGGGAAGGGCTAAAAAGGCCAAAGGGTGCGTTTGGTTTACCGATCTCTCCCGGCATCACGTTGTGCAAACATTGCAGTTCATATCCTCGAAAACGCACCCGTTGATCGACCTGAAAACGATACTAGAAAACGCCAAGAAAGAAAAGCAGTATCAGCTTGCACAAATTAACCCTGCCAACAGCGAACGAACAAGCAGAGATCTTTCGTTGAATATTTAACAGGAGTAAAAAGGTGCGAACGAAAGTAGGTCGACTATTATCACTGGAACAGAATTAATCACGCCTCCAAGTGCGAATTATTTGAGCATGGCGAATGCTAATTAATGGATCATTCGAATTCCGACTGCTATATAATTTCTGTTTTCGACAGTGCTCTGACTAGCTGTTGTTCTCACGAATGAAACATCTGAAAATACGTACGAAAAATCTATAGTAATCTACAAAATCTATTCCACCATTAGACAATTTTTATGTATGTACTTACTGCGTTATAGAAAATTGTCTGGAAATTTTGAAAATTGAGCATTTGAACTCTACTTATTAGAGATTCTCTATATCAAAATAATATTTCCAATTGGTAGAATTATCTCATCAATTATCACTGCATCCGGTATTCCAGGATTCATCATACGGTCAATGTATGTCAATATATACGAAAATATTCAATTTCTTGTTCTATAAATGTACGTGTAAGAAGATAATGAGAGTAAGAATAACTTGAATAACTTAAATAACTAAAAATACGTTGTATTTATGAAAAAATTTCGAACAAGTGTTCAAATACTCTCGTGAGTCACTGTATGTATAAGTCAATGTATGTAATATAATTGCCCCCCCCCCCACCCCCAAAAAAATATACATCGACTGTAATCTAATGATTAAAGAATACCAAAATATGGTCTTAGATAAGAGAGAGTGTACCGTCATTGTTAAAGGAAGAAGAATTTTTCGCGCGCTCGAGGAACCGCTCGTAAAACCCAATTCCAGGAAGTAACCCAATTCCTGCGGGAGGGATGACCCAGCCACGAGAAGGCAGCCGGAGTACGGTA